TTATAATTGTCAAGAATTGAAATGATGATGAATGAATGACAAAGTGCATAAAAAAGTCTTGCATTCCTTTAAAGAGAAATCTAAGATGATGGTGGTAACAAAATGAAAAAATGGTAGAAACCTAAAAGAGATGATTTGAAAGGATATATGATGTGACCAAATGAAGAATATGATGATGGATTGCACAATAAAATGAAGATGGGGCAAATCTTAAAAAGTGGTATAATCGAGTGATGAGTACAATGATGAATTGGTCGATATGACTTGCAAGTTATGATTGAATGATGAAAATAATCAGTGGAAAAAGTTTATTTTGGAATGGTTAATGCTGAGACACCTATGAGTAATGACCTAGTGATGGTAGATGAAACTTGTTCTGAAATTTGTTAGTGTTGAGAAGTCCATGAATGGTGGTCAAGTGATGATCGATTGATGAAACTTGTTCCAAAGTATTGAGAAATTGAACAAGGAAAACATGCGAAATGGTAGAGTTTTGAAAGCCATATTACCATAATTATTTAAAATTTTGTGACATAGATGTCTGCATTACATACATCATGGGGGCATCATTGCTTGAATAATACATGCACATAATTTGATGAATTAAACTTTGTTTGGACATGCATGGCACTATGAGAATATAGGTTACCGTATTTGCATCATTAAGAAGGCATTTGCATATTTGGTTATAACATTCATTCATGCAAATTTTTGAGTCACTTGAAAAAAATTATGAATATTTTGATGAGAATTTTTGAGAACTCAAATGAGAATCTTTGAGTTCAAAATGAGAATCTTTGAGGAGTGAAACCCTAAAGTTCGTTGAATGTGAATCTTCGAACTAGAATGAAAAGTTTTGAACTTTTGGATGTGAATCTCCAAAATACAAAGCTTTAACTTTTTGGATATGAATCTCTAAATTTTTTAAATGAGAACCTTTGAACTTAGATGTGAAACTCTAAGTTTTATTGCTGAGCTTTTGAACTCAAATGAGAAGCTTTGAATTTTTGGATGTGAATCCCAAGCTTGCCAAATGCGAACCTTTAAAAAGCCTTAAACTTTTGAATGTGAGCCTCTAAAATTCAAATGAGGTTCTTTGATGCGAGTCTTGCAAGTTGCAAATGCAAATCTTGAGATCTTGCAAATTTGAATGAAACTGAAATTTTGAGAATCAAATTTCAGTAAATTCTTACGAAGTTGGAAGGTTCTTGCAAATCTGAACCTATGAATGTTGAACTCAAATTGTGAATCTTTGAGTTCCCATTACAAAATTTCTTCAATCACGATCTATAACTCCTTTGGACATGATTGTCAAGGAGCAATTTACTTTTCAAAGTCGTGGTGCCTCTGTTTAGAGGAGCAATTTATTTTCCAAAGTTGTGGTGCCTCTATTTAGAGGAGCAATTTATTTTTCAAAAATTGAGGTGCCTCTATTTAGAGGAACAATTTTCTTTTTCAAAGTTGTGGTGCCTCTATTTAGAGGAGCAATTTATTTTCCAAAGTTGTGAGCCTCTGATTAAAGGAGCCATTTATTTTTTCAAAGTCATTGAGCCTCTGATTAAAAGAGCCGTTTATTTTCAAAGTTGTTGAGCCTCTGATTAGAGGAGCCATTTATTTTTTCAAAGTCGTTGAGCTTCTGATTAGAGGAGCCATTTATTTTTTTAAAGTTGTTAAGCCTCTGATTAAAGGAGCCATTTATTTTTTCAAAGTTATTGAGCCTCTGATTAGATGAGCCATTTATTTTTCAAAAGTCATTGAGTCTCTGATTATAGGAGCTTTGTTATGTTTCTCAAAGTTGTTAAGCCTCTGCTTAGAAGAGCTTTAATCAAAATTTTAACAAAAAAAAAACAAAACAAAACAAAAAAAAAACAAAAACAAAAAAAAATGTCAAGTTGAGTCTTAAATGGGTGTCTACGTTTTTGCACAATTCCTACTTCGCAGAAAATATGCAAAGAGGGGCAGCTGTAGACACCCTATTTAGTCCGGATCCAAACCCATTGGGCCTAGTCTAATAGGATTTGGGTCTAAACCCATTGGACCCGGTTTAGGATCCAATTAGCTGGCCCCAATGGATTTTTTATTTTTATTTTTATTATTTAATATATATTATATTTTTTTATCTATTAATATTTTTTTATTTATCTGCTTTTATTTTTAATTATTTTTTATCTATTTCTTTTATTTATCTAATTATCTTTTTTTTGTTATCTATTAATATCTTTATCTTTTTATTTTGATTAATTTTCAGTTAAGATTAGGATAAAAAAATTGGAATGAATTTGGCTGTGATTTGGGAATTGGCAGAGTTGTGATTAGATTTAAAGATTGAATCCAAATCCCAGAAAGAGTTGGGATTGATCAGAAACTCTTCTGATCAATCCCTATAAATAGGTGCTAGAAGAACAAAAGAAGACACACAGAGAAACACAGACACAGAGAAAAAACAGAAGCTAAAAAAGGGTTTTGGTGTGTTAGAATCCCGAGCCGAGTCTCCAAGCTGTTTTTCTTCCTCGAGCCGAGCCGCTAAGCCGAGCCGTTCCCAGTTTTTTTTTGTTATTTATTTATTTATTATTATAATTATTATTAGAATTGTTTAATATTCTTTTATTTTTATCTTTATTTTACTTTTACTTTTCCTTATTTTTATTTTTATTTTTTTATTTTATTTTCTTTAAATAAAATTAAAAAAATATATTTTTGAGAAAAAGTTGAAAGTATCAATTTTCCTCGAAATTAAAGTTTCCAAAAAATATTTTTAGGGAAAAGTTGAAAGTATCAATTTTTCTTAAAAATAAATTTTCAAAAAAGGTTTTTTTGAGGAAAAGTTGAAAGTATCAAATTTTCGTGAAATTAAAGTTTCCAAAAACTACTTTAAAGTTGAAAGTATCAATTTTTCTCGTAACTAAAGTTTCCAAAAAATATTTTTGGGAAAAAGTTGAAAGTATCAATTTTCTTTAAAAATAAATTTTTGAAAAAAAGGTTTTTTTTTAGGAAAAGTTAAAAGTATCAATTTTCCTCGAAATTAAAGTTTCTAAAAAATATTTTGGGGAGAAGTTGAAAGTATTAATTTTTCCTGTACAAAAGTGATCATTTTTTTTCCTTTTATATTTCTTTGGATTTTCTTTAATGTTAAATAATCCGACGACGGAGCCTTTGCAAGTGAAATAATAGTTTCTTGCATACTCTTGAGATGAGTGAATTTTTTCAATTTTCTGCTAAAAGTATTAGAGTCAATTGAGAATAATTTCCAATAACTAATTACTTGGTAAATTTTTAAGGCTTATTGGATAACACAAAATTAAGTTGGTACCATCTTTTGATGGGCATTGTGAGGGTGCTATAACCTTCCTTATACGTAACCGAACTCCCGAACCCTATTCTGGTTAGTAGACCCGAACTTATTCTTTTAAGGACCCTTAAACTTAGGTGTTCCTTGAAAGGATAGGTTCCTTAGGTGGCCAATCGCACCTAGATAAAAAAGATTGGTGGCGACTCCTTAAGTCAAAGTATAACGATGGATCCCCAGATCTAGACGTTATGATAGTATTCATAGAAACTAGCGTCTCACTCTGAAGAGGCTCCATCGTCAGATTTATTAACATTTATTTATTTTCTTTTAGTTAAAAAAAATCAATAAAGTCTCCTAATAGTTTAGTATGACTTACTTTGAAGCAGATTGCCCAATAGTTTGGTGAGATTTTATTATAAAAATATTTATAAAAATTTATTTTTTTTTAGAAAATTTATTGAGTCTCCCAATATTTTGGTAACACTTAATCTTGGAAACAATCCTCCAATAGTTTGAAAGATAAAATGTATTTTTATTTTTCTCCCATTATTATTTTAAAAAAATGATTTTTGGAATTTCTTAATAGTTTGGTGGATTTCATTTTAAAAATGAAAGTTTCTTAATAGTTTGGTAAAATTCAAGAATTTATTTGGTGAGGATTTTAATTTAAAAAAAGATTTTTTTATTTTTTTGTTTTATTTTATTTTTATTTGTATTTGTCTAAAACTTATTTGAGAAGATTTTTTTGTTTTTATTTTATTTATTATTTTTTAAAAAATAAAAGTGGAATTTTTTGAATATTCAGTAAAAATAAATAAATAATAAAAACTAGTAAAATAAAAGAAATTGAAAATAAAAACAAATTAAATTAAAAAAATAAAGTAAATAAAATCATAAAATCAGGGGAAAATGAAAAAGAAAAACCTACGATTCGAATCAAGTCAGCACACGAGTCAAAGCATGGGTTAATGGATCACATGCGAATCTTGGGCTATCCAAAACGATGTCATTTTGGCACCTTATAAAAGTTACCTTTATGCATTTTTGCTAAGAAGTGCCTGGGTCCTCTTTCTTTAATCGAATTCTCTTTACCCTTTCTCTAAAAACAGCCTAGACATTTAACCAGAAACTAGATTTGGTTGTCAATTCCTAGAAAATTAACGAAATACCATTGAAAAATTCAAATCCCCACTGAAAAACTCATAAAAAAATTCATGTTTCTTCCTAAAACTCAATTTTCCCATAAAATTCCAAAAACTCCTAACTTTTTCTAAATTCTTTTCAGAAACCTTTCAATAACTTAAACCTGATCCCAAGAACTCACATCGAAACCCAGAAAAGCGAATAATAATAATGATAATCTAATAATAATAATAGTAATAACTATAATAATATACCATAGTATAATAATAATAATAATAATAATAATAATAATAATAATAATAATAATAATATAATATAATATAATATAATATAATATAACAAAAAAAATAAAACTCAATTCAATTAACCCCAAACACAAATGGGTGTCTACACAGAGATTGAGTGCCTTGATTCAATTTTGACCAATGTCTCATTACTTATTTACGGGCTTGACATCAAGATCTATCTACTTAACAGTTTCCCAACACCTTCGAGATCAAGATCTTCTCCATTAACTATATCTACGCACTTTCAAGATAAAGATAACTCTACTTACCTATATTTCAACACCCTCAAGATCAGGATCATCTCTTTTTAATTGTGTCCCAATACTCTCGATATCAGGATCATCTCCTTTTAATTGTGTCCCAACACTCTCGATATCAGGATCATTTCTTCTTAATTGTACCTGAACAATCTAAAGAGCAAGATAATCTTTTCTCTACTATGTCTCAGCACTCTTCCCCTACAACATGGCATATATTCCAAAAATAATTAGTAATCCAACTAAAACGTTGTTAATTTTGAGAAGAAAAACACAAAATTAGTGGAATATATGATAATGTTATTTGGTTAAAAAAGTTGCAAGAAAGTTATTAGATACCTCCCAAGGTGAATCTCCTCGTGTAGTAAAGTAGGGCTCATGGATGTTGTAAACATGAGGGCAAAAGGAGAAGTCATGGAGACAAAAACTGGTGCTTGTTGTTGTGTGCACCATGTTCCAAGCATTACTGACAATCAAGATGCAAGGATGGCCTATCCATTTTATTAAATGAAAGAATAAATTTAATGGTAAAAGATATCATTTACTATTAACTTCTAAAACTTGTATGTAAACTAAAGCTTAGTATTTCTATCTCTTTTTGTTTTCTCCTCCTAACCCACTCACGATAGCTAAAAGTTTTTTCTTATTTCAAATAGAAGTGAGACATTGATTATAAATGAAATAAAACGTCTTTTCGTTATAAAAAGCTATAACATCTCTCGACTGGATAAACTTAAAATAAACTACAACCTAGCAAACATTTGCAAAACCACATTAATGAAATAAACATGCATGTGATAAAAAAAACTAGTTCAAAGACAAAAACATTTCAGAGTAAAAAGTATCTTAAATCTTGCAAAGTTTTCAAGTAGCCTTACAATGTTATAGATCCAACAAGCTCATTAAATTGGGTTTCAATGATCTATTTTCATGCTATAGATGTTAAATTGTTTTTGTATTTCATGTATAAATATAGAAAGCAAATATATCAAATTAATTTTTCATAATTAAATCTATGCAATAAAATAAATATTAATTTATATTTGATTGATGGATTTATATTTCATTTCATTTCATTTGGTAAAATACTAATGCAAGTTTGATTTCATTTGATAAAATATTAATGCACTTGAATTTTATTTGATTTCATTTGTAAATTTTATAATTTTAAATCTAGATATTAATACACATTGATTTAATAAAAATTTAATTTGTTTTATTACCATTATTGGATACAATAAATTTAATTTTGTTTTATTGTTTTAAATTAAAGGATCTCTAAATATTGATGGCAAGATAAAGTATTTTAATATAAATCAACTTGCCATTGTTAGACTATTATTCACTCATAATTTTTATTATTTCAATATTAACATTCATAGTTTAAAATAATCTTATTAACTAACCTACAACACACCTTTTGTGTAAATAGCTCTATGTTAAGCATAATGCATCTTTAATTATTTTTCACTAATTTTATATCTTTCGATAACTGTTCAACTCTGCTTCAGTTTTCTCTCTAATTTTCACTTTTCATCTTTTCTTGATCTATACTGCTCCAAGGTTATTATTTTTTTATACTTATATTTTATATTTCTTTAAGTATGCAAAGGAAAGTATAAATATTATGGTGATGATGAATCAATATACCACCTAAACTCATAAACTAAAATCGAGGTCATGAGACAGCATGTATAGGTTATTAACCCAAACACTAATGCCTTGGTTTAACATCATGCCAAGAATCCACAAAAACATCCTTGCGTTCGTGGTGCTAGAACTAATCATAGTAACATTAGTCTTAAATTGCAAAAAATAATACATCGATTAACATAATAATGTTATTAATATTACACTAATAAAAATTCTATAACCAAATATATATATTATTGAATTCAATAACACTATAAATTGATATTAGATTAAATATTGAAAACACTGAGAAATTTTAAAACATAAAACTTAAACACACCAAACTTTCAAGATTATATAGTTAATCAAATTATGAAAGAAATTTAAAGTAATTAAAGCACAAAACAAAGTAATCAAATCCTCATTTTTGCATTTTATTTTAACCCAAAAGATACTATTCTAAATAATATAAGTTATGGCATTCTCTATATTAACTCCTTAATAAAGTCTGTATGTACTCTTTTACATCTTCATTTTTAAAAAATCTAAACAAAATGAACCTTATATTCTCTTTCCCTTTTACCCTTTTTTCACTTGATTTGTTGTTATAATAAATCATAGCTGAGAGATCAAGCAATGGCTTAAACTCCACATATAAATAGGCATCGGACATATTATTGGTTTTTTCTAAGCCAAAAGAGTTTATTAATAAACCAAAAGGTTACCAAACTATCATAGAAATATAGTTCAATGCTAGTACAAAACAAACTAACCAAATACCACCTAAATGATAACATGCATACTAAACACCACCTCTCCCTAAAAGTGTCAGATCATATGACAACAACACCATACAACAATCAATCTTTTGGTTATAAAAAGCTATAACATCTCTTAGCAGGATAAGCATATAATAAACTATAACCCAGCAAACATTTGCAAAACCACATTAATGAAATAAATGTGCATGTGATAAAAAAACTAGTTCAAAAACAAAAACATTCCAGAGCGAAAAAGTATCTTAAATCTTGTAAAGTCTTCAAGTAGTCTAGCAATGTTATAGATCCAACAAGCTCATTAAATTGGTTTTCACTGATTTATTTTCATGCTACAAATGTTAAATGGTTTTTATATTTCATGTGTAAATATAGAAAATAAATATATCAAATTAATTCTCCATCCGTGCGATAAAATAAATATTATTTTTATTTGATTGATAGATTTATATTTCATTTCATTTGGTAAAATACTAATGCAAGTTTGATTTCATTTTATAAATATTAATGTACTTCAATTTTATTTGGTTTCATTTATAACGTTTTATAATTTTAAAATCTAGTTATTAATGCACATTAATTTAATTGAAATTTAATTTGTTTTATTGCCATTATTAGATAATAAATTTAATTTGTTTTGTTGTTCTAAATTAGGGCATCTCTAAATATTATGGCAGAATAAAATATTTTAATATCAATCAACTTGCCATTGTTAGACTATTATTCACTCATAATTTTTATTATTTTAGTATTAACTTTCATAATTTAAAATTATCTTATTAATTAACCTACAAGACACCTTTTGTATAAGTAGATTTAGGTTAAGCATAATGTATCTTTAACTATTTTCACTAATTTTATATTTTTTGATCACTACTCAACACTACTTCAATTTTCTCTCTAATTTTCACTTTGCATCGTTTCTTGGTTTGTGCTACTCAAAGGTTATTCTTTTTTATACTTGTATTTTATATTTCTTTAACTATGATATTAGCTTTTTTTTAATATTTCTTTTGTTGATGATGGATTTAAAGATGATTGGGTATGTATGGGAAAAGTCTTTCACCAATAGAGTCAGTATCATAAAAGTTAATATCACTTTTGGTTGGTACCATATGTCATGTAGGTGTAAAAAGAAATTATCTAAAATTGATGGGAAATTTCAATATTATTCTTACAAGGTTGATGTTCCTAACCCAACTCCAATGTAATTTATATTTATATTTTTTATATTTGATACATAAAAAAATTTATTTTTCCATGATGACAGTAAAAGTATTTTTAATTATTATATTATATTTATAATTGTAGAATTTTTTATTTTTTATAGGTACAAGTTGAATATTAAGGCATATGATAATTCTGGAAAGGGGATATTTGTACAGTTAAATACAAATGTTAAGGATTTAATTAATAAAGATATTGACGATCTTTATGAAATATTTGTTAAGGTATTGAGTTTAAAATTATTTTAATATTATTTAATATTCAAATTAATTGAATGATATATTTACACTTATGATTTAGGAAAATGAAGATTACAAAATCCAAGAGATATTTGAAGATCTTTGAGATAAAATTTGTGTATTCAAGGTGACAGCAACCAAGTATAATCTTGAGACAAGTAGTACCAAACTTATAGTGAATAAAGTGTATGATTATGATCCTAAGCTTGAATGTCAAAAATTATTGAAAGAGATAAGTATAAACTTATTATAATAATTATGTTTGTTATAAGGTTATATAGTCTAAATTATAACTCAACTGTTATCAAATTATAGATTGTTGTTTTATCTATCTATTCACCTACATATGTGAAATCTATTGGCTCATAAATAAAACAACGCCTACTTCAAAGATAGCAAGAAATACTGGAGAAACAATCGCTGCATATTTGTTTCAACAACTACTCATGGAAAAATCTTCCATGAAAAAAGTTTGTATGTGGATTGATTTTAAGGATGAAATTTTTAATTTCTTGAAATCGAAAACATTATTATCTTTTGATTAGAGATTATTTGGATTTAATAAATTATAGTTTGAGTTTTCTTTAGAACAGATGATAATTACATAAGTATATTCAATATATAATTAATTTATTTTATTATATTAAAATATATAAATTTAAATAAAATTGATTATATAAATTTTGAGTTATTCATAAACTTTATAGCTTATATTATCATTTTAAAAAATTTATATTTATATAAGATTTATTGATATATTAATATATTTTCGTGTATGCATGAATTTAAAACTAATTAAAAATAAGTTCAATGGACTAACAATTATTACATTTTGCATACCATATAAGATTAAATTGTTATCGTAAAGAAAATAAAATTTTTAAATTGTTAGAAAGAAAGTTAAAAGTACAATTTTAGCATTGATTTTAAGCTGAATTGTCAACTTTTATATTTAACAAAAGAGTTAGGCTGAAATGCCAATCTCATTTCCATCTTTCAGCATAGCTGCAGATAGGAATTTGACTCAGCACATATCTTACCTGATTCATCGTCAACTTAACTCTTAGAGATGATTTTCGTTTGAAAAAAAATTTTACAAGAAATTTTATAAGTGAAATTTATAAAATTTTTTATTAAAAATAAGTAAATCAAAATTAAAATCAAAAATCAAAATCGATAAATTAAAATATCCTGTCACATAAATCAATAATATAAAACTTAAAAAAATTTAATAAATTTTGATATATTTATTAAATAAATATTTTCAATAAAAATATTAACAAAATTTTTATCGTTGAATAAGTATCGATTAAATTTAAATTATAAATAATTTTTTTAATAATTTTTTTTACAAATTCAATTTTATTAGTCTATCCATTTAAATTGTTTATTAAAATTTTTATTTATTTATTTCTAATAAAAAACTTTACGAACTTTACTTAAAAAATTTTATGTAAATTTTATTCCTCTAATCTATCTGTAAGCCTGTGACTAATTATATTTACCCTGCTTGGAAAGTTATAGAAATGTTATGTACATCATACGCAAAAATATTTTCACACTACACAGGAATAGGTCT